TCGTTGCACCTTGAGGTCTGGAATTCTCTTCTGATTAAAGCCTTCATTATGTGGAAAGATATCGGGCTGCCCATGCATTGCAAAATCCTTGTCCCCTTCTAAGCAAGTGTGTCAGCAAGCTCATTGTCTTTAATGCCACAGTAACCAGGAATCCATTGTAGGACCACTGTTTTGTTCTTCTCTCTCAGCAGCTGATAGATTTTTCTACATTCCTTTATCTCAGCTGTTTTGGGTGACTTTCTGCTTCCAATTGAGTTTATTGCTGACTGTGAGTCCGAAAGTATCACCACTTTGGTGAATTTCGTATTCAGGCAACATAATTGGCATAGTGCTATCCTAATGGCCTCTATTTCTCCTTCGAAAGCGGATCTATTGTGTCCCTTTGCTGCGTAGAAAGAGAAGAGTTCAGAATAGACACCTGCACCAATGTTTCCTTGGTTTTCTATGTATGACCCATCAGTGAAGACTTGGAGCCACTGATCACCAGGATAGTTGACATTGATTGTCTCAAGGGCCAGTTTGCGCATTTGCTCTGGAGGGTGTTTGATTTCCTGAAGAAGTCAAGCAGTTGGGTGCAACACACTACATCAGTGTCTGCCAATGGGTTCATGGGGAGAGAGAGGCTTTTTGGTTTGTCACCCGTATCGTATAATTTATCCCTACTTATGGCATTGAAAATCAATAATTGTCCGAAGACTTCTCTTAAATTCTAATCTTGGTGTAAATTCTCCCTGTATAAAAAGCTTCGACTTCGCCAATCCCATTAGCAGGGAGAAAAAATGTTTAGTTCCACACCACTTTATTGATTGAAGGGTAATATACTTTTACGTAAGCTATTGGAATATAACCATACTTTAGTTAAAGTAGGTTTAAAACATGAATAACTAGACTAAATGCCATTCAATTAAAGGGAGATCTCGACAATGAATATTCTCAAAAGAAATCGAAATCGCTCAATTACATAACTTTCTAAAATTTTTAAATGAATATACCAGCTAAAAAACATTCTTAGACCAATCCGCAAGTATAGGTTTTATTTTTTAAGCTTTAATACTTTATCTTTCGCCCTTATAATGTAATAAATAATCACTAAATCCCCCTAGACATAAACCAAACCTGTCTTTCCTCAGCCAATTTCACTATTAATGATTTTTCTTTACAGAATAATGAGTAGCAAGCACTCTTGACAACTTCATGTAGCTTTTAAAAAATTAGCTGAAGACCTGAAAAATTGCTTTATATTTCCAACTAACCATACACTCACTTTTTGAAATATGAAACCATGGTGGTATACATATTCAAGTTTACAAATTAGGAAATTATAAATTAATTATTATGAACATGAACTTATGCACATTGTAATTCTTGCACTCAACCAACAATATATATATATATATATATATATATATATATATATATAATTCCGTTATATATATATATATATATATATATATATATATATATATACTTGAGTAACTGATGATTCAAAAAATATGTGAATATCATTTATCAGATGGACATCTTTTTTTATTTACGAAATATTTTCTTTGTAAACTACATTTTCGAAATAAATCACCATATTTTACTGCGTTTTCCTTCTATTTGCGCATTTATTCAGGGCAAAGTTAGCAGAATTTGCATTGAAATTAGTCAACCAGTAACTCAAGTATGCCAATGCTTACTTGCTCTCTGGAGCCGGACAGGGTTTATAACATGGGCGAATGATAAGCTCACTAGGTCTTTTAACCAGAGGTACAATTCCTGAGTCCTGAACTCCAAGCTCAATAAGATGAGAACGGCATGGCAGACCCGCTTGACCAAATTGTTTCAAGGACTTCGTAGCATGAAAAGCCAGCTTATAAGGTTTCAGTGGTAGGAACGAATCCACCATTCTCACATAGCACGTTCCCACTCTCATTTGAAAGCCTTCTCCCCCAAGTTCCTTGGAATTAAATCCTTGGGATCCAGCGGGTAGTTTAGCCACGCAGGGTACGCATTCTGACCAAGGTCCCCAAGACGTAAACATCTGATAAGTGAAACTCAAGTCAACAAGCATCCTTACCTGAACATTTGATTGGGTGACAGTTTTCTGTTTAAGAGTTCTTAACTTTTGTGGGGGATTAATATCAACCTGATTTAAGTCCAGAGTAACCATCGGAGCAATGGTTTGTCGATAGGGTTCTACACCAGGAGGCAAGACAGTTACGGCCCAGACAATGCGAGGACGACCGCGGTAGACGCACGTATAGACTCCGCTATCTTGTGCCAGAGTTTTTCTTAGGACGAGCTGATCCTTGTAAACAAAAACTCGTGGTTGGAAGAAACGCGTTTTTGTGAAGGTTATTTTCTCAGGAGCTTTGCTGGGCTTTTCGATAGTGTAATATATGTTAAGTGATGGTATTGTGTGATTTTTGATCAAGTCCCGGGCTGATCCGCTGCTGTTATTTTCTTTGTGTGTGAAATTTTGTATATTTTCAGTAACATAGAGTCGTGATCGTACTCTATAAAATATCGATATAACAGCATTCAACCGAATTTTATCAAATGGGGAAAAATAAATGTAAACGTCCTTTACCTTTCACGGATGCTGATAGCATCAGTCATTTCGATATCAGCGAAGTTTTTAAGTTTTGCACTGGTTTTAGCAAGCTTTATATACTTTGCTATACTAAAATCAGGGCTACACTCCGTGAGTTTTGGCTCGCATTGTTCACAAATCGAACAAGAAAGATGAAGACTTTCTCCCTCAACCAACAAAACACTATCGTAAATAGTTCGCTGATTTAAGCCACAAGGATACTGTTGCCATTTAAGAACAGCTAGGGCTGTTGTACTAATGCAAAAACAAAGTGGTATCAATAATAAGCGAAAAAACATAATACAGATTAATTTGATACCAGCCTTGAAAAAGTATATTCAAGTAATAAAACGTATGGCGATATTGCGATAAATATTTTAAATTAAGTATAAATGGCATTGTAATTTATTGTTTGTTAAAAGTATTGTTTTATCAATCTATCTTTTGATTTTTCATTGTGAAACGAATCACTTTGTAATATAAAATTTAAAAATTAATTCTTATTTCTCTAGGAAAATTAATTTTGATTTAATTTATTTCAAAGCTCATTCCATTTATGATTTATAATAATATATTGCTTGAAAAGTGAAAAAGCATTGACGATTGACTTCGTAAATGAAATTGACAAAATTGAATAAAAATTAATTTAGTATTTAAGATTCTGTTTAAGGCAATGAGTTGCTATTTGTTTAATTCTTTATCCATTAACCTATGTGGAAATCTATACTCAACAAAGGATCTATTATTCCTGTTGTTAGTTGAGTCACTTCACGATTTACAAGGAAGAAGAGCTGTTTATATTAATCACTAATGCATACAGCTGTGAATATTCCAATCTTCATTTAAAGTTACCTTCAGTTCAAGGTTAAGCGAGTTACAGTAACTTTGCTGAAATTTATCATATTTTAAATAAAAAAATGCATTTTATAGTTTTGGTTTTATTCAGAATAAAACACACTTATGATCAATAACACTTTTGCTACACATGAATCTCACTAGGCATGCAACGAAGATTTTGATTCCTGACAAAAACCGTGTAGAATTTGGGTGGGGCTATGGCACAGAGATAGCGAGAGAGGGTGTTATATAGCTAAAAAGGGATATTATTTGGTGCAACAACAAACCACTGAGGAGGAGGTGGTAGACTTGGAGATAGCTACTGCAGTTGAACAGGGAGGATTTTTGGGAGTAGAGGGGAGGGGGTGGATTGTAAAGGGCGGGGGCAGGAAGCAGCTGAACAGTAGAGTTAATCACCAGGAGGAAAACACACATACCACTGATGTCGATGATGATGCGACAGCGACGTTAGAAGCACAATCAATGAAATGCTTTCTTGCTAACTTGCTGGCTGCTGCTAGCCTGCTACTTTTCCTCCCTCCGGTCGCCCACCCTCTGCCTTATTTCAAGGTCGCATTTCTCTCCGCAATTATGAAAACTCAATATTAAATAGCTCCCTAATTTAAGAAACTTTTCTTCTCCGTGATTCATTTCTATCACTCCTGTGTTTACCAAATCTTAATAATTATATTTATCTCTCGAGGAGGCATATGTTAATATAAATTAAACACATATGCTTTACTTAAATATTAACCTCCAAGAATTTTAAAATAAAATGCTAACGTAGATCACTTATTCATATAAAATCTATGAAAAATGGGAGATATTAGGTATCTATTTAATAAAATTCAATTACCACCACAAAACATTCCATTTCTATTTTGTCCAATCTTTGTATGTGTGTGTGTGTCCATTAATGAGTATTTAAAAACTAGACAGTTAATTTAATCAGACGACTCACTTCTTCCAATAACTCCTTTTAGGTCTATTTGAAATAAATCATTATATTTTTGTGTTCATTATTCGAAATCTAAGCTGTCTTCAACACTATTGTGAAAGAGGTCTATTTGGTGAGATTTGCTCTCGGACTCTGACAAATCCTAAAAAATCTTGAAGCTGGCCGGATTGTAGAGACATTCTCTCCTTCATCGCCTCCCCAGTTTTGATTAGGCCCTCTAAGAGTTCGTTTGCTGTTGCTAAAAAAGGACGGAATTGTGTTGCTTGGTAGCTTTTCTGCCTATTTCATTTATGGCAACGTAGAGTTGTTTGTACTCCATTGTAAAAGGTGTTGCAGGGTAAGAAAAGTTAAACCGCCTCCAATAAAGTGCATTTTGGTTATTAGGATCACAAAGAGAGTGAGAGGGAAAAAGGTGAGATTTAAGTAGACGGAATTAGTCTGGTAGCAAGACACGAATGGACTGAATCCTTATAATATTTACATCCTTAAACTAGGTTTTTTGTCCAGTGGCCTTCATTAACCGAGGCGGCAAAATAAAGGTTTGTCAAATGAAGTAACAATTGAAGAATGTCGATGAAATATTACAGTTATAGCATAGGAAGAGGCGTCGATATTGCACATCCTCTGCACGGAAAGCAGTGTTGAGCCTTTCAGTCTGTGTATTTATGTTTTTACTTACTGATTATATCCTTAAATTGTAAGAGCAACTGAGCTAAATCAACTTGAATCAGTCTTATCTCAGTACAAGCACGAAAATCGGCCTCTTATGGTAAAACAAAACTTCTAATATTTAATTAAATAATTATCCATTACCCTTCCAAGCAAACATACTATGGCTAAAATGCTTCAAATTAAATATCCCTTTGTGCCTGAGTAAACCGTTTTACTGATTCAGGTCAAGGTTTCAAATCTACCAAAATAGTAAACCAAATAATTTACCTCCTTCAATTAAGATGCATATTTAATAGGTGGTCATGTAGATCAGAAGTGTATTGTTGTTGATAGAGATTATCCACTAGGAGATTTTTTAATAATAACACTTCAAGGATATTTTTTATTTCGGTGACAAGGGTATTAGGCAATTTTCGAAGAAATAACTTGCATTCTTATTTTAAAATAAATAATGCCCGAAGCAAAATGTCCCACCGCTGTAATTTGTGACAGCTCGGTTTCTGCAATCATTAGAAAAGTCCTCCAAAATTAGCTGTTCATTAGTTCCTCCCTATCAGGGATGTGTGATAGACTTACCTCCACGTGGTGCACCCTGGGCAACGTATATTCATACGGCAAAAAAGTCTATTAACCGGCAGTTGACTTCCGACTTCAAACTACCATCACCTCACTGCATGTCATATTCGACTACTTCCACAGTACTCACCTCACCTGTTTCACTCTACCTTTGTGTCTGTCTCTTTTATATCTTTGAAATACTCTACTGTTCCCCCCCCCTCCCCCTCTCGACTTTTTTCAATTTGATGCTCCTTCCCCCCTGTGAAGCCTGAAGTCAACTAAAGGGCTTATGATAACTATCAAAATGCTTGCCATTTGATATAAAGTTCCTCCCTATCACGAGTATTGCTAGCAGTGACGTCGGTATATGTTGATAATAATAAATTTGCCGTGATTTATTCTACTTATAGAAATCCCGTTTACAAACTGAAAAGCAAATATAAATTTAGAAAAAAAAATATTTTTCAATAAAAAATTGAACCTAAAACAGGTTGCTCATTTGTATTGATTGTTGTTATGGGAAAGTGGATGAATTTGGAAGGACTGGAATTGGCTAGAATATTAAAATAACTAGTGCTCCAAAGAACGTATTAAACACGCAGGTGAGTTTGTGTATCAAAAGTATGCCGTTCACAGATTAACTGCGCTGCATTCATTCTATAGAAACGAACAGAACAGGTAGTGTAAAAATAAATGATAACACCCTTGAATAAACATTGAAAAGCAATACGAACATTGTTAATCGAAAATGCGTCAGAGTGCACTAATGAATATTAAGGAGCTTGCGTGGCTTAACATCCCTATATTCATCAGAGAGGATCGAATGAGATTAATACTTAGAATATTTACACACATCATCATGAGATAGAATTTGTTTATTTCAAATGGTAGGCTTTATGAAAGTTATCGTTAGCCCTTTAGTTGACTTCTGGCTTTACAGTGAGGAGGAACAGCAAAATGAGAAAAAGTCGAGAGGGGAAACGAAGGAATGATTCACATATGTAAAAGAGACAGACAGACAGACAGACAGATACAAGAATAAAGAAAAAGGAGAGGTGAGTATTGCGGAAGTGGTCGAATATGACATACAGTGGGGTAATGTTCGTTTGAAGTCAGAAGTCAGCTGCCTTATGAGTATACGTTACCCGGGGTACACCACGTGGAGGTAAGTCTATCGTACAACCCTCATGAGATAGTATAAAGACGAATGATTCGTGTATTGGTAATTTTTCTCTCAAAGGGTTGTTTGGTTCCCAGCCTTTCTTTTCGAGAATAATTTGAATCAAGAATCTTAAAAACGTATGGACAAACAATAAAGGCAGAATATAATATTTGGTAGCTCATATTCTCTGACACGATTTCTATTGCCAAAGTAAGACATTGGGTCCCTTATATTGTTATTATCATATATGAAACGCTTATCATATGAATAAACCAGCCATTATGGATGATATCAACAAATGATTTCACTTTATATGGAAAGGTTGAGAATGCTGTTTTGGAGTGTAATTGGAGTTCAGTCCATGCGTAAGTTTGGAATATACTCTTAGGTTTCATTAAGAGTAGTTTAAATTGTTGGATAGCTTGAAAATGAAGTCAACCA